AAACTAAGCGCAATGTCGCCGCGCCGTGCGTATTTATCCCGTTCAAAGCAATCCAGATCGTTCTCGAACACTAACGCGCTGGTCCGGCTGGTCGGTTCTAGCCGATTCTAGCTTGATGGCGTCAGCGGCAGATCGCTCACCGCAACGTTGCCGCTATTTATGTTTAATATTATGACAATTAGATTTTTTTGTGGAATTTTCGGAAGCTTCTCTGATTTTTGCAGTTTGTATCTTTTAAATTAAAATCGTTGTGAGAGCTACCAGAATTGCCTCCGCGAGCTACCGGTAGCTCGCGATCGACAGGTTGGCGACCACTGCACTAGACACTAGACATGCTGTAAATGGATTTATTTTTCCTACTTTGAAGCTTATACAAAGTTTCTGTGAAATGTTATTTGAGAAAATCTTCCACCAGCAGATACCAAATTTATTTCTTCGAAACTATGAACTACATTTCGAACTTCAATATATGAGCTTCAAATGAGAACTCCTATAATATTACATGAGGTCAATACCAGTTCATTTTTCTGAAACACCAAACTAAAAAAAACGAAATCACTATCAAACGTTTTTTTAGATTTCTCTGTGAGGTGTTTCCTGGCGTCTTTTCTATGGACGACGCGACGTCAAACTAACAAGTGGTATAAAGAACTTTAGAATCGATTAAACACTTCAGGAAATTTTATGTGGATCCTGTATTCTTTGCTGAATCCCATTATCCGTTAGTCTTGCAGAAATCGCGTTATACAAAATGAAACTTCCTAACTGCCTACATGACTAACTATTTTTCAATTTTTTTCAACGAAACTCGAAATGTACAGTAAATTTTTGGGAGTGGTCTACTATTTAACTTTCTCTCACTACTCACACTTCTCTTTTTCTCAAAGATCCAGTTTATCATTTCAGCATTTCGCCATCCTAGTCATAATCTTATATTTACTTCTTCTGAAATTTCCGTTCTCCCTAATTGTTTCATAAATGCAGATTGGATAAATGGATCTGAAAGTAACGACAAAAGGGTAACGAGGTTGCTAGACTAGAGATTTCTTTTTTTTCCAGAATGTGGAATACGCCACAAAGTTCAACACCGTTTGAAACATGATAATATGTTAGATTTAGTTGATTCTTACTGGTTATGAGTCATACAGGTGCAGATGACGAATATACGCTTCGACACTCATCTACTGAGCGTTTTAAAAACATCGCATTTGATTTATTTCAGTGTTCGGTTGAAGAAGAAGTTAGTTCATTTCAATTACATCGTTTAGTTTTCAGTTGATATTTTAGTGGTGTATTCAGCTGGACTTTGTTTTCTATCTACCAAATGAGTAGTTTAGTTGAATAATAATTATTAATATAATTAGCAGTTGCCAAAAATTTCGTTTTATTATCAACTTTTCATTTCGGAAAATGATAAATAAAACTTTCTATGTTTTTTATCACTTTCATTTGTAACTATCGTTACTGCAGTTTCGCCCGTATGGACATTTTCAAACTGATAAAATACAGTATATGAAGAATAGAAATTTTACCACTTTCATTTGTAACTAAAGTTACTGCAATTTCGCCCTATTGTGGCAGTAACGATAGTTACAAAAAAAAAGAGGCAAAGAAACATAGAAAGTTCCATGTTTCATTTTTCATGATGATCTGCTACCACGCAGTAACGGCTACATCAATCAATTTAATAACTTTTCATTTGGTTGTTTGAAAATTGATTCTAATTGCTCATAATCTTTTTATCAACAGTAAAATACATACACTGTTTTCGAATTCTAATCCAAACTTTAGTATCTCAGTGAAAACTTATATAATTTAATCGAAATAAGTGCCATTTGAATTAGTGTCAATAAGTCCAACGTTGCCTGGTCCTGATTGACGAAGGTTCTACCGGCGATAAAGTTATCGAGGTCTGTATAAAAACCCTTGAGAAAGCTATTGTATAGTGAAACGATCTTTGAAAACTCTCTAGTGAAAATCTCACAATGAAAATAATATTAAAATTTCACCCCGAACACAGAAGAGTTACTTCTTTTTGTACACAGATGTATTTCATTTCCATTATGTCTTCTGTTTCCAATAGGCAAATGTGATAATGTGAAAGTACTTATTTCGTTTTGTTACTTTTTCAGTTTGAAAAAACAAAAAATTATCTTTGAAATTCTATAGAACAGTACCCAACTAAAATCCGTAAACGGCAGAGTATATATTAATGAAATCGAATTGTAATATAAATTTAATTATCAAAACGAGGCTGAAATCACAAAAAATATTATAATTCTCAACACGTGCTCTCTATGCGTAAACATTCACTCAGTTGCCAAAACGCAGCACGTTGTTTAGTTGGCCCATTTTCTGATTCGAAATGGTTATTTCAGAATTATATTTATTGTATCGGAATGTTCTACACGCTCAAGCGAATAGCAATTATTTTTGCTTTATCTAAATCAACTGCCTTTTTGTATACGCCTTTTTTGTGAATTGTTTTTATTCATTTTTAATTATTGTTTTTGAATTTCACATCACGGTTTGACATCGAATACTAAGCATATGTCAACAGTACAGAACAACAACATAATTCAAATTGAAGTTATTAGGAGAGATTAGTCTTTTGGAAAAAATTTTTGGGCTTACTACATCTCCATCAACATACAAAAAATGTGAGACACTTCTGAAAGAAGGAAGCAAACAATCAAGTTAAAAAAACTCTTTACAAAGAACAATATCTACAAAGATATACAGTGCATTTCATTTAAAACGAGCCACCCTGAATAACTTTTGGTACATTGATTTTCAGGAAAAATAAAAAAAAAACAGGTCAACATTAGTATACAGGGGGACACATTTTGACATATTCACATTTGATCTGTCTGTTTAAATATGTTTCAAATCTGTTTTCCGTTAATCAGCTGTCGCCTCCATACGAACGACAACTCTCAGAAGTTGAGAAACTTGTGCGAGCTAAGGACTAACGAGGTCTTACCTTTCAACGTGTGATTCCTAACACGGTTGCAGAATCATCCGAGCCTCAGCCAGATAAATTCTTTCGCGGAAAATATCTGGTCAAGGCAGGAATCGAACCCACGGTTTTCCGATCGTGAGTCGGGCGCGCTACCACCGCGGCCAATTCCACAATTTTTACTTCCCTTATCGCACCCCCAGAGCATGTCACCAAATTTTTTCAAATGGATCACCCTATATTGTTTCACATTATCAGATGCTCCATGATGAACAGATTTCAACAAAGTATAAAACATACGGTCTGGAACTTATGGTTCGGGAGCTACAAATTATTTGAATTGAAAATGAGCTACCCTGAATAACTTTTGAAACAATGATTTGCAGGAAAAATAAAAAAACAGGTCAACAATTATACCTACAGGAGGTCACATTTTGAAATATTTGTTCTAGAGACAAAGATGGAAGCAATAAACCAGAAAAAGAGACTTTTTATTACTTCTTGAATCAAAATTTGATGACTGGACAATGGGAAGAAAAAAATGTTTTCATCAACTTCCATACAATGTTACGAGTTTCCATTGCCATACACACATGGTTGAGAATCTCGGGAGTTTTTTCTATGCAATGCCTCATAATATTCTCTCTCATATCTTATAATGTTGTTGGTTCTATCTCATACACTTTACATTTCAAATGACCCCAATGAAAAAAAAATACAGGAGTGAGATCCGGAGACCCTGGTGGCTATTCTGTAGGACTTCTTCTGCCAATCCAGCGATCAGGGAAATGATCATCCAAAAATTGTCTCACTGGAGCTGCATAATGAAGAGATGTACTATCCTGCTGAAAAACTATTTCGTTTTCGAATAAATTTATATCCTCCTCCATTCCCCTATTAATGCACGGTATTATTCGATTCTCCAAATATTTATCACTAGTCAAATTATCATCGATGAGAAAAGGTCCTATGATGTAGCTACGCCGGGAAAAAATAGCTAATTTTTGGACTTAGCTGTGGTGGTATGGCTCGTTTGCAGAAATTATAGTGAGTTACACTAGCCGCTGACCACCAAAGTGTAACCATGGTGTTTTTTTGGTGAATTTTTGCCTTTGGGAGCTACCTGGGTGGCTCATCGGTATCCAATCACTGTCCTGAACGTCTCGTGTTGTCGTAGAGGATCCACTTTTCATCACACGATCCGATCGTTTTGGTTGCGGAATAGCAAAGAAGAACAGAACTCGAAACGTGAAAATTTCTGTCGATCGTTCAAATCGTGAGGTATCCACTTTTTGAGCTTTTTGACCTTTTGAAAATATTTTAAACCATAAAAAACCGCATGGGTCCGTCACCACCAGCGTCCTCAAATCTTCGTCCTGGATTACTGTAGGTCGACCACTTCTGACTATTTTCGAGATTAAAATCTCCGTACAGAAATTTCGCAAAGCAATGAATAACAGTGCGTTCATTAATGCTATATCATTGCCAAATGCCTGGTTAATGTTTCGGGCTGTTTCGGCAGCGCTTTGGTTCAATTTGAATTCGTATAGAAAAATTTGACAAAAATCGCTTAACGACATCATGTAGTAATAAGCTGAAAAGATGCAAACAATTGAATTTTTGAAAAGATGAACAGCATCAATGTACAGGCTGATTCACGGTAGATGGTACATTAGACGTTTCTGGTCAGCAGGACATGTAGAAGGTTCAACGAAGGGCATCCGAATTTACCGCAAATGAACCTCAAGGAATTTTTATATAAATTCAGAACAATTTCAATGCATTTGGATTAACTTAAAAATCATCAAGAAACTTGCCTCGACCCGTAACTTCTGAAGGCAACCAAATTAATGTATAAGCATATTTTCACGCATTTCCTGAGTCATCGAAAGAAGTGCTGAAGAAGATTTGGGTATAAAATATTCATCGGTTCAAAGAATCTTGCGAATACATAAAATGCATGATTATAAATTCACCAAAATTCAAGCAATGAAGCCTCAAGACCCTCAACAGGAAGTTCAAATGTTGTGAAATGTGAAATGTTGTTGAAGCATATTCAAGAAGATCCATTTTTCTAAATGAAATTATTTGGAATCGAAATTTTCGGTAGAAGGAATTTTCAATAGAAAAAATTGTCATTATTGGTCCAGTGAAAAGCCTCACGTCACAAACGAAGTCGAATTTTAAGAAAATTTTTTTTAAATGTCTTCTGCATGCTAATAGACAACAAATTGAGGTACGAGGAATCATTAGCATTTAGAAGCTACTTGAATATTTTGCAGGGTATCGGAAATGTTGGTACCAATCAGACGGAGCTCCTGCACCAAGATTACCCGATCTTGATCCATTGAATTTTCATCTATGGGGAATGTTTGAAGATAAATTTAACAAAACATCCTTGTGTTCGAGAGATGAATTGTTAGAAAGGATTACCCAAACATTTGAAGTTTCGGATCCCAATGAAATCACATTTGCCACGACGAAATTTCGTTGAAATTTCTACATGTTCTGCTGATGATTCTATCACACTGTCCAAAAATAACAAACATATTCATGAGAACTTCGTTTGAATAGTTTTGTTCCATCATTTTGGCGGTATTTGAAACTTCTGAAGTGGCGAAAATGTCAATACTATTAGGAGAATGTCACAACGTTACTGTCAAATAGTAATCAGACCTGCTTACAAAATACCGAATGGTATTACCATTCTGAAGGGACATTTTCACAAATAAATGCACATAAGTCCGAAACTTGACTAGTTAAAAATACGCATGACATACATAGAAAGAAAGCAAATTTCAACAGCTTTCTGAATTTGTAATAATACACAGGGTGTTCCATTTGAAATAATCAACTTTCATTCACTTTTTCAAACAAACCAAAAAACTATATTTTTCACCACCCTGTAGTGAAGTAACGAAGACTACGTCAAAGTGTGGGAAACCTCCAAGTATCACAAACTAAATTTCGGTACCATAGTATTAATTCGAAGAAATCAGCATGTTTAGAGGTATATTGAAGTATTGATAAGAGTTGTCGG